ACAAACCATACAAAATATTTACAAGATTTTTCTTGGCGGATTCTATACTTGACAACGAAGTCACAATGTTATTAGTGAGAACTATGATGTTTGTTTAAAGTTTCCATTTTGGTTCAATCAAGCTTGTCCATTTACAGCATCTAATTTGACTAGAGGTTATATTTTAAAGAACAACTGCTTAGTTGTTTTTAACTAATGCATTTAGATCACCATAGAAAGGAAGAAAGGAGCCCATACAGTGAAAATTACTTTCCCCTCAAAAAAAAGAAAAGAAAAACACCCACACTCCTAAAGCTAATCCTGAATACTACCTTCATTCACAGTGCTTTATACTTAAAACCATGACTGGGGAAGAAATTAATAAAAGCAGAGAGGGGCCACTGTTTTAAAACACTGTTTTTTGCAATAATCCAGATGATACTACTAGCCTCTGTTAATGCTTTGCAACAGTGAATCAGGACAAGACAGATTTGCTAATGTTCATTTCATCACCAAAGGAATGAAGATGTCTGGGCTTTTTATTCTGTAATGTTTCTAAGACTGTGTCCATTAAATGCAAACAAAAAAAGGAAGAAGCCTTGGCAGAACAGATGTGATGTACACTTGATGATCACAGCGACTTAAATATCATTCATGGCATATAGCCTAGTCCATGCTCTAGCTGTTTCTATGGCTTGGGCTTCACTGGTCTTCCCCTGCTCTGCTAATCATTTGCTAATGGATCATCTGGACTGGCAGCACTTCACAAAGTCTGGGAAGGAGGCAGAACTGTGAAGATCTGCAGTGCTGTGGACCACTTCTGTTTCAAAATTGCTCAACATATTCTTCCCAACTTGTCTACATGGCTGTTTTTGTTATGTGCCATCAAGTCGTCTGTGACTCAGAGCGACCGCTATGTACATTACCTCTGTCTCCAACAGACCTAATCCCATCTCCCCAGTCACTGAGTCAATCCATCTTATCCTGGGTCTTTCTCTCCTGCACTGTCCCTCCACCCTTTCAAGCATGATGTCCTTCTCCAAGGACTGGTCCCTCCTGGCCATGTGCCCAAAGTATGTGAGACGAAGCTTCAAAATCCTTGCCTCCAGGGAGCAGTTTGGTTTCAATGTCTCCAGGACAGACCTGGCAGTCCACAGGAAGTTCAACACTCTCCTCCAGCACCACAACTCAAAGATACTGATCCTTCTTCTATCATCATTAGTCACTGTCTAGCTCTGATGAACAGAAAGTAATTGTGAAGACCATGACCTAGACCAGGTGCACCTTACGGTGATAAATTTTGGTCATGCAATGTACTTTAGGAGCTGCCATTGGGTATTCTCCTGGAAGGAATAGTCCCAGTTTAAAAGTCCCTTCCCCAAAAGGGGAATCCTGGGTGCCAGCAATGACCACATGAAAATGACAAGCCCTGCTTTCATCTGGTTTTGCTTTAAACCTAGGAAAAGGTTTTGCCAGCAAATGTTGGGTCTCCTTGATAATCCTGCAGGGCAGCCTAGCCATCTTGTCAGATACCAAGTTTGGCTTCTTGTCTCTATCATCACTTTTTAAATTGAGGACCGTGCTTAGAAACACATTTCCCATCATTTGCAGCAACGTGCTAAAGAATGATACTATTATGCAAGCAAGAGAACACAGCTAGAGATTTACATATCTGATGTGCTTCTGGTGAGGTTTAAAAAAAATTATGAACATGTGATTGAAAGAGAGAGGCAGGGCTATGTATTTTATACACTGGAAAAGAACTTGACTGAATTATGTGGTTACTCTTTGCTAGTTAGAGTAAAACTCAAAAGAGGAGGACTTAAAATGAACTCAGCAAAATAAAAGCTATTTTAAAAAGTTTTAAGGAGGTATGTTCTTGAATGTTCATAAAAAGTGGCTACACAATCTTTAATTAAAGAGATTTAAGTCTATGACTGATGTCTTTAACCAACAAACACAGCAGAAAATCTAACCATTTTGACTTAAGAGGACAGAGAAAGAATGACAGGGAAAAGACAATGCCTCTTGAGAACTCCATACACAAGAAAGAAGCCAAAGGAGCTATATCTGCTTCTCTCCAAGAAGAGAAGAGGATCATTCCTGGAGCAATTCTGAGATCAGCACAACTCTTAGAAGGAGCATGGGTGCCGGACCTTCATGGTTTCAAAGAAGATCTAAAAGGTTTGGGACACATTCTCCCAGATTGCTGAGTTGGATCTTTGTCAACTCAGTTGCACAGTGTGGGCTTGCTAGTAAGGTGTCCTATGGGACAGGGCCGTTATCTAAGGCCAGGATTGCCATATCCAGGGGGAAGGACACAGCTGGCCAGGGCTGAGGTTGTGGAGTTACCACTCAGACTAAGAATGGGTCTACTCAAAGCTAGAAGACCTGAAATGAACAAGTTATCTTTTTATGTTAATGAGAAATGTTAAGAGTACAGTGTGGCTAGCAATTAAACAATTGAGAGAAACAGAGATAGAAGATAGATGCCAAGACACATGAGGAAGGATCTCTCAGAAACCAGAAAGCCAAAGCTGAAGAGGCACTGGCCTTCCTCCAAATCAGCTAGAGAAAAAGTCTTTTCCTAAGTTGCACTTTGAATTCAGACCCGCTTCCTAAACTGTAGTGAAATAAATCTGTTTGCTAAAACCATCCACTAGTGATATTTTCACTATGGCAGTACTAAAAAATTAAGAATCATCTATTTTAAATAAGAGTGCTGCTGACCTTCTGGTGTAAAGATCATACTGTTTAAATTATTAGATATCTTTCTTTGTTACAGTTACAGAAACCAAATTATAAACAAACTAGGCATGGTACTTGTGGGACAAAAGATAGACATACAAACAAAAATCAGAACTCTATCATGAAGCAAGCTAGATAATTAGAAAAACAAAACACAGATGTAGAAAAGGGGCTGTTCTGACAAAAATATATTAATAACAATCCAGGAGGAAGCTCTGATGGCTTCGTGGATAAGTAGTTGTGCTGCCAACCCAGACGCACAGAGTTCAAATCCACTAGTTGCTCCAAAGAAGAACGATGAGCAATTTCCTCCCATGGGATTTGCAGCCTCCAAAAATCCAGCAGAGGGTCAAAGATGAGTGAGTGCTGACTAAACGGCACATAGTAACAAAAATAATCTGGGTACCTTAATATAAAGCAATATATATGTCCTCAGGCATTGTGCATTAACTGAGACTTCATCAATATTTTCTTCTAATATGAGTTTGCTGTAGTACAGAGTTTTTAAGTAAGATTTCTACAGAAGGATTTATACAATGCACAATTATTGACTATTTTAAAGACAAATGTTAAATACTAGGATCCTTTCTTTGTATGTTGAAAACACACCTAGTTCTTTCTACATGGAATTCTGGGTCTTAAAGAGAGTAATGTTGATATAACAAAATTAAACATTAAAAACCATTTGGATATTTGTAAAGTACACTGTAACTTTAGAAACCAAATATACTGAGCTCTTAAATTATTTCATTTTTCTACTATCACATAAAGCTTTACTTCGTTAAAACCTAAAGTCTTCTTTATTATCAAGCAAAAAACCATTAATACTGTTTTTTAAGTTTTTCACAAAGCTTTCATTCAATTGAGGCTTGACATTAAAAGACACTAGCCATTTAATATTGCCCAGGTATTAAATTCATATGCTCATGGGACCCATAAACCATTTCACAGAAGGTGCTCCCAAGAGCAGCTGAATTAGTATAAACAAAAAGAATCAGTAGTTAGCAGTAGAGGGAAAACATGAATAAAGCAAAAAATTCAATTTATTATTTCTCTTACATTTGCTCATAGTTTTATTATATTTTATTACAGCATAAAAATTGACCCCTAGTAATAACTGAAAACCTATTAAAAAAAATCTTCACATTTAGCAGAAATTAGTTTTAAGTAACAAAAAGACATCCAGATTCCAAAAAGTTCTGTTTTTTAAATGGTTTCTTCCAGAAGATAGAGCAAAGCAGAAGGGTCTCACAGATACTCTAACAAAGTGAATCTCCTGTTTACCAGCACCTCACAAGTATATACAACAATATCTGGTGTTCAACAGTAAAAACTTCGGTTATTAGTTATAAAGTATCAAATTTAAAGTATACGTATTTGTGTGTGTGTGTGTGTGTGTGAGAGAGAGAGAGAGAGACAGAGACTCCTATAAAAATAATCTGGAAATCCACCTAACTGAACATTGTGTTTTCCTTAGTCATATGACAATGTATTCTGGTTAGAATAAACCAGCTCTACTTATATAATATTAGCAGGTAACAATGATTTAATTTTCACATGACTGATCAAACATTCTCTAAGCAAGTAGCTAAAATACTATTTTCAAAGAAAACAGAAAATAATCGGACAATAAAACAAGATAATAGAATTGTCAAAAAATAACACAAGAAAACAAGAACAAAAAGAGTATGAATATGCATATTACCTAGGTTTCTCTAAAGTCAAAAAAGAATACAAATAAAACTTATTTCTAGTAGGCAAATTCATTTTTTAAATGTCTTCAACTAACTTAAGCAAGATCCTTAATATCATACATACAAGAGTAGTATACTCATTATGTCTATTAATGTATTACTTGGTAAGATGAAATACTGAGATAGAAAAATCTGTCTTAATAACTAGTGAAATGCCATAAAAAGATATTTTCTTAAAAAAGATATTCTTTAAAAACAGGAAGAAAATGGAAATAAGGTCAAATAGACTTTAACCAAGTAAATATATTTAATCATCACTTATCATAATCATAAGCACCATGAAAAAGATCCCAACATAATACATACATTGACCAAATGTTAATAACCAAATAAAACAGCAGCTGAAAAAAATGTGTGAAATATTTTAAAACATTACTATCAATGCCACTACCAATACAGAAAGCACTACTATTTACTTATATGACTATTACTAGTTTTATATACATATAATACTACATCTTATAGTTCTATAAACGTGTTACATAATAAGTATTATAATAATTTATAAGAAACACTTACTGGGTAAATTTTTTGTAGGGATGGAAGGATGGGTTCAGGCAATGCTATAAAAAGAAAAAGTTTAAAGCTTTTATGATTCACAATCCATTTGCAAAGCAATAATTTGTCAGTTACATTATACAAATTAAAATGGTAATACCAGAGTATATGCTAAAATTTATGTTTTCTTACACTTTATGAAAATAATCACAATGTCTTATATATACTTTAAGTTAAATAATATATCTCAGAAGACACTTTACTATTTTATTAATAAATTATGCACATCTCTATACAAACCAAGGTACTTTGTATGGTCCTGGAATAGATTACCAGTAAAGAGAGATATACATCATTTGATCACATAAAATAAACAATACATGGATTGTTAAAATGGCATGTTGTTCAAAAAAAGTATAATCCAATGATACAACAAAAGTTGTTTCATAATTGTCTTAAATATTTAATTTCAGCCACTATTAAACAGTGAAGGACCTTAGGTGACCTAGTTTTCAAAGAGCTGTGCTGCCAACTCAAGGTAGGAGGTTCAAATCCACCAGCTGCTCTGCAAGATAAAGATGGGGAAATCCCCTTCCTTGCAATTTACTGCCTCTGAAAACCTGCTGCAGGGTCTGCTGAGTCATTTTCAACTCCATGGCATACAACAACTATAACAAATATCAATCAATAATACCAAAATTGATACAGTTCAAGGGAAAAAAATCAACTTTATTAATATATATTTTTTTAAAGGAAAGTGTTATAAAAGTTAGAAATCTAAATCAGGAGATATGTTTGCAACAAACTGCTGAAAAAAGTATCATCTAGTTAGAACTAACTCATAGCTGACTCTCCAGTGTGTTTTCAAAGGCAATAAATCTCACAGGTGGAAACTGTCCATCTTGTGGAGCAGCTGGTGAATTCAAAATGCCTGCCTTTAGGCTGGCAGAGCAACTTTTATCACTAAATGACCAGAGCTCCCAATGGAATATACTGTTGTTGCTGCTGTTATGTTCCGTCAAGTCTCCTGAGACTCATAGTAACCCTGTGTACAACAGCCCTTAACTCTGCTCTATCCTGTGCAATCTCACTCTCTCTAACACACCTACCCCCGTTACGCCAGTCACTGAATCAATCCATCTCATCGAGGATTTTCCTCTCCTGCACTGTCCCTCCACTCTCCCAAGTATGATGTCCTTCCCCAAAGACTGGTCCGTCCTTGCAACAAGTCCAAAGTATGTGAGACGAAGCTTCAGAATCCTTGCCTCCAAGGAGCAGCCTGGCTTCACCCTCTCCAAGACAAATCTGTTTGTTTTCTTAGTAGTCCATGGTATATTCAACACTCTTCTTCAACACCACAGCTCAAAGGCATCAATTCTCCTATCATCCCTACTCATTGTCCAGCTCTCTGATGCATAGCAAGTGATTGCAAAGACCATGGCATATATCAGGCACAATATATTATTGTAGTTACAGTCAACCAATCATTATAACTCATCTACACGGTCTCCAAAAATGAGAAATATATACCTTACTTCCAAATAGTACAGAGTAAGATATTTTCTTTAAATGTCTCTTCTGTATTATGCTTCCTTCATTCACAAGTTAAGAATTGGGGGGGTGGGAGGGGAGAATCTCATCATGTCCAACTGAGAATACTAAGAGAAAACAACTCACTGCTTAGTAAAATCTTCCTTAAGAACTTAGACTCTTAGGCATTCAAAGTCTGAAAATTCTAGAAGATCCTGTAAGTCTTATCAAGCTCAGTCAGTCAAATTCTGTATTTCCACAACCGTTTTTAGTGTTTTTTAAAAAAATAATTTTAGTTCTAATGTAAAAGTAAATTTAGAAAATCTTAACAGTTTCAGGGTAACTTAAAAACATAAATTCATTTCCCACTGAGTACCCCATAAATTCACAAAACAAAACATGAAGAAAGCTAAGTAGAGAACTATAATAAAAATTTTTTATCTTATTCTAAAACTATAGTCATAAATGCAAGGAAAGAAAAGCTAATACTAAGACTGATTTAGAGATAAAAGTTCAACAGCTTGAATCCACCAGCCTCTCTAAGAGAGGAAGATGGGCAATCTTTGCAGCCCTGGAAACATGGTGGAAGGCCCCATGAGTCAAAACTGACTTTGATGGTGGTCAGGAAATGAATGACAGTACAAAAGAGTCTCTAGAAATAAGCTATTTGGAACTTAGGAGGTATGAGTATCACTCAATAAACTCCTAAATTTTAATTATTTATAAAACCTGGTCATTAGAGAAATAATTATCATATAGTGTGTAGTTATGGATTAACAGTGAAAGAGCTCAGTAGTTATGATTCTGACTTCAAAATCTTGGACTATGATTCAACCCTTTCTTAAAGACAGAACAAAATAGTCTTCCAATTGCAGGATATTATCAACTAGTAACACTTTGAGATTGTTCATCTACTCTGCCGTCAGTCCACATGGGGGCTTTCCGGTCATTCCCACAAATTCAGGTCCATCAGCATGTCGTTGCTGTTGCTGTTGCTGATTGCCTTCGAGTTGAAATACAACTCACAGCGACTCTATGAACATAATGCCTGATGCTCCTCTACAACTATTGACATTTATCAAAGTTCATAGAGTTGCCAGCATAATACACTGATTTAGCAAAATTTCAAAAGAGGCAGTCTTCAACAACCCTGTGAAACCATTAATTCTGAAAAATGTAGGAACAACTTAAAAGTGCCTAAGGGACACTCTGTATCTAGTTAACATGTACACATTTCATGAATCACTCAAATCATTATTTCTTATTTATGATTTTGCTTTTATCATGAATCTCAATCTTAGATTATCATTAAAAATCTCTTCCCAGAGAGTTTTTCTCATCATGCTAATAATCCTTTCAAGTGGTAAGATGTGTATTAAAAACTACTGACTTGCATCCCAACAAATACTTTCTCTTTTTAATCTTTCTACATATAGACAATTGGTTATTTCTTTGTTCATAATAGAAAAGACTAAAGCATTTAAACTATTACACGAAATTATTTAATCACCTAATACAAGAAATCAAGTTATAGATGAGAATACTAAAGCCAAAAAGGTATAGGGACTTGACCAAAACAATAAAAATTTTAAATTCAGTTGTGTGCTAGAACTTAAAACTGTGTAACACTCCTTTCAAACTCTTTCTTATACACCTTTTCAAACTGTAATATAACACTGTCTACAAAAGGAACTACCAATCTCCTTTCTAATTTCTTCTTGGGAGTTGGTAAATTTTCAAAGTTTACAGTTCAGGTTAACTTCCTAAGCTAATGTCTGTTAACAAAGACCTAGAGAAGGCTATAAATAGTAACACTAATTACAAATCATCTCAGTAAAGATACTTAAAAAAATACTTTTAAGAAAATCTAAATGAAATTTTAGAGCACTATGATAGCACTATCTGTAGAGAGTTGCGCTGCTAATGAAAAGACGGCCTATCTCTGGTGGTTCAAAAACACCAATTGCTCCATGAAAGAACAACAGTCTCCTCTTGTGCAGTATATAGCCTTCAAAAACTTGCTGGAGGGTCAGCTATGGGTCACTTCAGACTTGCCAGCAATTAAAACTAATTTAGTTGAAACTAAATTTTATCTTAAAATACTCATTTTATAATGATTTTAACATTTTATAATAATGTTTGCATTTTCAGGTTAAGTGCAAAATCACATTAAGGTAACTATGATTACAAAATATTCTTACAAAGAAGGCAAATCAAATTAAAATGCTTTATGTAACTAGTAACTAGTTACATTAGTGAAAGGCTGGTCATGTTTATGGATGTTAAAATTTTTAACAAATATAAGTCACTAGTAATATTAAAAAGAGATAATAGTACATGACTCATATTATTCTTAGTATCTTGTATTTCTTTTATAAATAGTCTTTATTGTATGTGTGCCTGCAAGAGTACAGAGCAAGGGGTAATGTAATTGCTAACCACCTCAATCTCTTCTAACAATCTCAATCTCTTCTCCATCTAATATGGTGCTGGCCAATTGGCCCAGTGGTGAGAATCTTTCTCTTCTTGATGTTGATCTTCAATCCATACTGAAGACTATAGTCCTTGACTTTTTGCAGCAGTGCTTCAGGTCCTCCTCAGTTTCAACGAGCAAGGCTGTGTCACCTGCATGTTGTAGGTCGTTAATGAGTATTCCTCCATACCTGATGCCATACTCCTCCTCATACAGCCCTGCTTCCCAAATGATCTGATCTGCATACAGACTGAAAAGGTATGGGGATGGGAGACATCCCTGACGCATGTATTTCCTGATTTTGAACCATGCAGTATTTCCTTGCTCTGTTCTACTGACTGCCTCTAAGTATGATCAAATGCTCTAAGATTTCCATTATCCTTAAGGTTAGCCACAATTTATTGTGAT